ATACAATTCAGTTCAATTTGACAAAGACGATGGACATAAAAAACAAGTCTTATCCAAAACAGATAACTGAAAATTTTAAAATGATCAGCTTTCCGTTTAGCATGGTCACGTTGTCGTCACATGGGTGACGCTTTCAAAACGTATTCCTAAAAATTTTTGATTATTTTGAATGAAAAAGAAAATGAAAAGAATTCTATTAGGATCTAAAATTTTTATGTGTATGCTTGTCGAGCATTAATCTCGCTAAAAAAGGGGAAATATTAAAGAAACCAGGTCTAGTATTCACCGTGCGTGAGATGGGTATTATACCTGCTTCATAAATCCTTCTGAGATTTTTATTATGAAAATATATTAATACTTTCACGGAATCGAAATTATGATCTGCTTTAGTTGTGTGTACAACTAAAGCATTGTTAAAATTTCCGAGGCGAATATCTCGTTTATGTTCGAAAACACGAGATTTTACGGACCTACATGTTTCACCCACATATTTTAGGTCACAGTTTTTGCATGATATTTGATAGATGCAAGCATCGGATGTAATATGTTGTCTGCTGGTGCTATTTAATAAACTACGGATAGTTCTAGTAGGTAATATTGTAGTTTTGATTTTTAAAGCATTTAGATTATGAGAGATGCGTTCGGTCAAATGGTTATTTGGTAGAAAGATGCGACCAAACGAAATATTATCAGAAGCAACTGAAAGTGTACCTTTCATTGATGTAGTTGTAGTGGCCTTCGAGGTGTCATTTTGCGCTGATGAGTGAATTTTCAACGCTTTATTTTTAGCTCTCTGTAATAATTGTCTCGGATACGAAAGATTTGAAAAGGTATCCTCAATATATGTGAATTCATCATTTAAATATTTTGATGAACAGATGCGAAGAGCCCTTAAATAGAATCCAATGACAATACCCCTCTTAGTGTTAGTATCATGGTGAGAGTAACACTAAGAATAAATTAGAATTCAAAGTATATCGTAAACCTACATGTAAAAATGACTATTTACATTTTTACTCTCACCATGATGGTATTTATCAATTCACCCACAGGAATTGAATGTGGCACAAGGCCTTTTTAATGTGGGTATGTCCGAGCCCGTAGGCCCAGCCAAAAATAAAACCCATCTAAACCCGTCCAAGCGGGCTAGTTCCGTCAACCTCCCCAACGAAACCCTACCCTTCGGCAGAGCTTCGTCAGGGTTCCTCTCTGCAAGCAGAGAGTTCGACAGACACCCGACCCGGCAGCTCACAAAGCGCAGATACTACACTTTGATCCTAGCCACCGGGCCGAGCGGGTATTCTTTTTATAGATACGGTGGGGTGGTAGTTAATAAGGGAAAGCCAAATCTGATTTCCTTAAAGGTTTTACCCAAGGCATTTTAGCTGCCTCTTTTAATGGCCAAAATATGGAATTCAATTTACCTAAGAGGTATATGAATGCCTTAAAATCCTTGTCTATGAATAATAACATTATTATATCTCCTTCTGATAAAGGAGGCGGTGTTGTTGTCATGGATACCATTGCTTACAACCAGAAAATGTTGGACTTGCTAAATGATAGAGACACTTATGAACAGATCATCTCTATACAAATTTCTAAGAATCTAAAAGAATTTAATAGGTCCTATAAGAAACTCATATGTAATGAAGATAAGATTTCATTCATTTTAAACAACATAATTGCATTTAAGGATTTTTGTTTGTTTTTTCCAAATTTTTCTTCATTCTGTCGGATCTATATCCATTTACATTTGCTTACATATATATATATATATATACACACGGGATGCATAAAAAATAAACATATGTCCGCAAATTCTTCGTTTTGGAGTTATTAAGTTACCGTTACCATTCGCGGCCTTATATAACTACCTGCTCACGATATGAATATCTTGTCATTGTTAAACGGAACACTTCTAATCCCTATTACATACTTTAAAAGTTGAAGACAGATTAGCCACAAACGTACACGAATGACAAATGTAACAGCGCCATCTCCCGTAAACTTTCTTTAAACTTAATAACTCAAAACCTAAGGATTTTAGGGCATATGTTTATATGGACTTTTGTCCTTGTTTTGGTGTGAGGAATATATATCGATAAACAACTGTAGTTAAAATAACTGGATGGATGTTTGTTAGCATAAACGATGCAAACTCAAACATGAATCATTTTTACCGATTTGCTTAAATTTCGGCTAACATTTGCTTGAAGAAACGCAAAGTTAGTGATGAGAATTGGAAAAGATGGTCATTATGACAAGGTAACAGTTATAAATTTATTTATACCATCATCATTTTTATCTATCATTATATTTACCTGCAACTAAATTGTAAAGACTTTAAATACGTTTCATGTTCGCTAAATGAAAGAATTATATTTGTGTGGTTTACAATATGTAAAGTATCTTTACTATTTAAATCAAAGTAACATGGAATAATTAAAAAAAAAAAAACATTTTAATAATAAAAAGAACTTGAAGCAAATTTATTTTAATGTCTATTCATGATAACAGACGCTATCTCATTATAAGTTGGTTGAATAAACGACTTATACATTGATAAATTATAAACCGATTAACATATTAGGATACAGTTGTGGAAATTTCTTTAAACTGGAAACAACTGCTTTATTCAATGTAAATGGGCAACGCAAATGTAAAGTTAAATATTTTAGGACATTCAAATCGGAGGAACGACTCAAGTATTTTAATATGAGTCTTAATTTATATTAAAATATACTTATTCTGAGCATTTATGTCTCTATAATTGACAGTGAAAACAAGTTAATAGCCATTACCTTTTATTTATATAGATTAAATAAATATTTAATAGTGCTCAGTCAGTACAATTTAACAATCAATATAAAATATAGTTATTTGTATTCTTTAGATGTGCGTGTGCATGTGCGTGCGTGTGTGTATGTGTGTGTGTCCATACATGAAACCCAACATAAAATTAAGGTATGTGAACGCTGGATCAAACCACCCTGCGATATAATCAAGCAATAAAGGAATAAAGTAAAGTGCAGGTTATCAAGAAATTCATCTTGTAAAATAATTTTCGATGAAAAAAAGAAAGAGTATGAAAAAGGCCTTAAAAGAAAATGGGCATAGAATTAAACTGGAGATTAAACCTCAAATAAAACAACAAATGAAGAATAATTCGAGGAAAAGAAAAAAACATTATTTGGTTTACCCCCCCCCTTAGGGGTGAAATGTAGAATAGGGAAAATATTTTTCAAATTGCTTAATAAACACTTCCCTAAAACCTCCGAATTACACAAGATTTTTTAATAGAAATACAGTTAAGTTACTGCTGTACTAGTAATTTGGAAACTACAATAAAAAGACAAAACACCAGGAATTTTAAAGCTAACGTACAGCAAGGCATCGTTAACAGTGAAGCATGCAACTGTAGAGATAAAGGTAAGTGTCCACTGGATGGAGTTTGCAAAACAAAAGGAGTAATTTACAAAACAGAAGTAAAAGATATATATGGCCAGAGCAAAATATACGTCGGGTGTACTGAAGGTAGCTTTAACAAGAGGTGGTATAACCACAAATCATCATTCAGGCTAGAAATACTTAGGAATTGTACCGGATTAGCCAGCCTTTTAAAACAAAAAATAACAAAGGTCCTAATGTAAACTGGAAAATATTAAGAGCCAAATCTTACAGCAATCTCAGACTGTGCCAGGAAGAAAAATTAACTATAATAACTATAACATTTTCAAAGCAAAAAGAATATCTACCAAATGAAAGGTCTGAAATTATGTTGCAATGTATACACACTAAAAAGTACTTTTTGAGTTCGTACTAACCCAAATGAAAGTATGTATATTTTATTTATCCCGCTTCTCTCCAATACAATTTCAATACTTGCCTTACTGCTCCCTTTCTATTACACTTCATGTTGTGCGTTCATATATGAATAAGAAAACGTTAAGAAATCATTTTGCCTATATCGCCTGAGGATACCGTGGTAGCGTAATTGGCTGATCTCCTATTTTTATATATATATATATATATATATATATATATATATATATATATATATGTCTGGAGAAAACTGTAAAATAGGCGATAAACTTTTTGGGCCCCAAATTGGTTCGGAATACTTCTGCGGACAAAGAAATTTGGGTTATAAAGCGCATTGTAAAAATTACATTCATTTTCTTTTTAGATTAAGTCTATCATAGTTACAGCTTATATTATTATATTATTATTATTATTTTACTATGTTGTCGATGCAATGCTACTGCATTTGTTGTTGCAATGAATATCTGTATTTCTTTATTCATACGAATATACTGCACAGTTATATCCCTTGAATTATAAGTTACGTTCACAATGTACTAAATTTAAATACAAAATGAATATTTAGTGACTTATTAATACATACAAAATCAAGAGGAAGCTTATCTACAACAATAAATCCTTGAATATAACTGCTTTAAATAAGCTTAGGAATTTTCATAGCCAGTTGTTAATATTATGTCTGTTGGCATCAAGGGCTATCAGTTTCTATCTTCATTCTCAGTAGCATCCAGTACATTACACTTACCGCTGTACATTGCGCCGTAATAGTAATTACTAGCAGTAGAGTCCGGCGTTGCCCGGGGATGTAACAGTAAGAGTTGGGGACGGCTGTTGCTTTGAAAGATGTGCTTTGTAAGTCGACAGGAACTAAGTTTCTACAAAACGTTGAAACGCAATGCACACAAAGTTTAAGCAGACATCATGCAGGCCCAAGTATTCGAAGGTATCGAAGGAAGTAACGGAAAGCCGTTGTAGCATCAGTCATTTGCCATTACAAAGACATCTGTGAGTAAAAGCTGGCAGCAGTGTGACGGACGCAGATAGCCCAAACACGCATACACGCATATATTAAGGTTAATTTCCGCTTGACAACAGAAGAGGTTACGTGGAAGTCATGAGACATTTTGGGAAAGCAAGTCAAGAGGTTGACTGACCCAATTACCCGTAGCAACAGATGTCTAGACAGAAGCTAGACAGAGGACTGGTGTAAGCTGGAATTCGCGCCAAAACGCAGGACACGTGAGAGTTAGAAAATTAGAGTCAGTTGCTGTCTTGTCTTTGAAGGAGCAAGACTCAAAATCGAAGCGCTGATAACTTATGAACGGAAAGATGAGACTCATTTGATAATGATGGAACTTGTCCGATTCATCCCAGGCAACTCCGGACAAAAAATATAAGAACATGTATTTCAGTTCGATAACCCCAAATTGAAGACGATAACCTGCGTTATTTATCACAGAAGACGCAAAGGAATTTGTACGCTGAGAATACAAACTGCGTTTGAAGAAAAGAGAAAACCAGAGAGGAAGAAAGTATATATCCCTGTTACAAGCTGAATTGTGTAAAGAAGAAAGAAAGAAAGAAAGAAAGAAAGAAGAAAGCCAGAGAGAGGAAGAAAGTGTATATACCTGTTGCAGTTGAATCGTGTTTGACTGAACTGTATACAGAAGAAGAAAGAAGGAAAGAAAAAAGAAAACCAGAGAAAGGAAGAAAGTGTATATCTCTGTTACAGCGGACAGTGTGTGAAATCGTATCTGTGTCAAGAAAAAAAAGGGGAAAGAAAAGAGGAAACGTGAAAGAGAAAAGAAAGGACAATGATAAAAAAAAAGAGAACTGAATATAAAGATAAGTAATCATATATTCTGCACCCATGTTAGAAAGATACACATGCATTCATAAATATTATGTTCTGACAAACACCATTCCACATGTCAAAATAATAATATGTAACTCCCATCCCATCTCTTTTGGTTATGTGTTGATTTCTGCATTCGTAGTTATTCATACTTATATTTTTTTTATCCGTTCGGGTTCAGTCGAATCCATTTGGAGTTAGGCGTATTTTGATATCCCAACATAAGTCTTGAGATCTGGTCGTCGGATATTTTACTCATGCTTATATTTTCTTTTATTTTAATATTTTGTATATCTGTACATATTAAAGTTCTTATATCAAAATTCACTACGCCTTATCGTTCATCCTTGAATTGTGGATCAGTATTCGTGTTGAAACCGAAGCGAACCTGGGAAAAGATTACTGTTCGATTATCCTAATCGAACAGTGTTCTTTAAAATATTTTTTTGTTTACTAATTGTCCATTGTCATGATCTGAGAGAGATAACCTGTATCTCTCCACAGGTGTGAGAATGTATATATCTTCTGGTCGGCGTATGATCGCCTTATAAACCCATTCGTCGACTAGGGCATATGACAACAGTTACTGCTTTAATCAATTGGACCGTTAAGCATTACTGGAAGCACTTGTGGTAAGTAGTAAAGAAACCACGATTCAGTTGCAACATACATAGGAATTGAAGGGAAAACGTGCCGTGAGGAAGCCATAGACATAAAGTATGTGCCGTGCGCAATCACAAACAAACGGCTTGTCTAACTAAAAGACGCGTCTTATGCCCAAAAGACGGCGCTGCCACGACCACAAAGCAGAACCGTAAAACCGAGAGAAGAGCCAACAGTGACGGGGTGTCATGGTAAGAAAATTCCTGTGATATAACTTCCTTTATTCTGATCTGTCACTATCTACATCGCGGCTGAGAACCCTTAAAACCGCAACGGGGGTAGCCGTAAGGCCGAGCATCGTAATTGCAATGGAGTAGTGCCATCTCTTCAGTCGCAGTCAACATCACGCTGAGAGCTCATGGAACCGGACCGGGGTCGCCGTACGGCAGAACGCCTCAACTGCAAACAAAACAATAGAGCCGTATGGGTGACATGTTTCACCCATGGCAGCCGTAAAGTGTACATGGAAGCAGAAGCCTGAATTTCGTAGACGCACTCGACTTTTGTGACAATTAAACGACCCCCGAAGCTTCTCAAGAGTGAATGTGCTTGTATGCACTGGTACGAACTGCAGGTGCTCCGATCAACTGTTAATGAAACCGGGACTTTAGTGGAGCAATCATGTCTAATGTCGGTGTTCATGTGTCTAGCAGCTTGTGTTGCAACTGAATACGGTGAGGTTATCATAGTGTACAAACAAACGCGATGATGGTGGGTGAATGTATGAAAGTCAGAAGGCAGCAAAAGAGCTGGATAACCTTTACAAATATGTCTTAGTAATGGCAAGTGGAGACTACGACGACCTAACGTTAAAACCAATATGACAAACAAAAAAATTGCCATGCAATCGGACTTCATATGTGTGCATGGCGCTTAAACGCTACCGGGCGGGTTTTCTACAGGACCTCCGTGTAGGTTATGTTTCTAGCACAGTTGTTGGGGGAGTAAATGAAAACCCTGTCCTTAGATCCAACACGTGAGCACCCAACGTAAAGTTGGCCGTGAGAGAAGCACTGCTCACGTAAATGCAGACCTGCGATGCTAAGCGTCTGTCCTTGTGATTTGTTAATGGACAGAGCAAAGCAAAGCTTCACGGGAAATTGTGAGCGACGAAAGTTGATTGGTATGCTTGCATCTGACGGCAGAAGATGCATCCTGGGAATCAGAACGACTTCACCTTTGCCGCAGTCAGTTGCAGTGGTCGCCTCAATCAGGTTTGGAGAAAGGGATTTAATAATGAGGCGAGACCCGTTGCACTGTTTAGGTGGGAGCAAATTCCTGATTAGCATAATCAGAGCACCAACTTTGAGCCGAAGAATATGAGGAGGGAGTCCGGACGGCTGGAGGGAGTTCAAAACATATGGGATACTCAGCTAATTCAGATGGATTGGAAGTTCTGTCAATGGACTTATAAACATGACATTGCCCGGGAATGCAATCCAACAGTTTAAGGTTGATGGAATCAACTGTACAGTTCTTCGGTGCTAATATGGCCCTCCCAGCAAGCCAATCGGCATCGGCAAAATTCGGATAGGTTGTAGAAGACTGTGATTCATCCGGTGATTCAACAGTGGTGGCAAGCTGATCCATCTGCACAAAACCCTGTGTGTCAGATGGCATTTTCCCTTCCCCAAGAACAAGAAGGTCCCGTGCGAAGTCAGCGGATCTGGAGTCCCCATTCAAGTAGGCACGCATGTTCGTGCTCAGTTTAAGAGTCTCCACGTGGCGCCAAAGGGTAGACGACTTCAGGCAGGCACGGACAGCGTCAGCGTCAGCGCGTTTACCTTTAGAAATAACAGGTAGAGTCTACTTAAAGTTGCCTGCGAGGAGAAGGGTTACTCCACCCATGGGGTCGGAGGGGTCTCGGATGTCTTGGAGACATCGGTCAAGTTTCCCGCAGTTGGTACAGTGTCTCTGAGCGGTGGTGGTAAACCGTAAGTTGGTAAAGAGGCACCTCCCAGTTCGAAAACAATATCTTCTAGGCCCACCAGCACTCTGTTGAATATGAAGTCAGTGAAACCGCATTCAACTCCTGGGCTGTTACGATGAACAGAGAACAGCACATCCACTGACATGGATTCTCTGTACTTTAGCCAGAGCGACAGAGGATCGCTTAGTTCGTATCGCAAAAGCAAAATGGCGAACAGCGTTCGAAGCTGTGATGGCATTCTGAGAAGTTCACCCTCCGCCATGGCTGCATCCCATTTGGAGTCGTCTTCAAGCAATCTCAAACGGAAGCATGCCTCTCTATAAGTCTGGCCCTCTATGCCGTTGACAGTGCGAATATCTGTGAAACTCGTTGGCCCAGCAATTTCATGAAGTAGAAGGCGGAGGTAAAATCACTCCTGCTGGCTGGTGGGGCACAGTATAAACGCGTCCAAGGCAAGAGTTAGACCTTATAGGTTCGCCAGCCTTTCGCCGAACCCACCGGTTGTTTGACCACACGTAGTAGGACGGGACTTGGGGGTATATCAATGTTTTGACAAAAGCATCTGTTGAGTATAATTTAAAGAAAGCCGTTAGGGTTGTGTCTTTAGGGTTTTCCACAACCTGGGCGTTTTGTTCGGTGAAGTACATCCTCTGTCCATTTTCTAAGTGAACAGCAAGCTGCACAATGGCTGGAGTCCTTTGGTGTATGGGGAATCCGAAAATTCGCCAAAAGGCCTCGCTACTGCTGAGGTAGCGTCCAGCCACGTAATCGGCCACCTTGGTCAACGCAATTGTCGCGCCGGATACCGAAAACGGCAGCACCGCTGCCTTTATTAACGTACTTTATTGACTTAACCGAGTGGCAGTAAGATGTACTTTATTGACTTAACCGAGTGGCAGTATTCGACGTTTATGTGGGCTCCAAAAGTCTTGGACAGCATCGGGCAATAAGACACCACCCAACGATTGTCCAGAGTGTGCCCCTTAACTGTCACAGTTCTGCCGCCCTCAGCGGGGCTTCTACGTCTGTACAGTGGGTAACCATCCGTTGCAGTCTACGTTTCTGAGATAAACTTACGGGAGTAACCTTTGCATAAGTGGGGCCGCTTGACCAACATGACCTTTTTCGTAATTTGTGCCACAGGGGCCGTGTATCATATTGTTTTTAATGATTTCGTGGAGCAAAGGATCCAGCGCAGGATCCGGAATTTCAGCAGAAATAAAATCGTCTATTTTGTTAGCGTCAACCTTATCGTTGAGCCAAACCGCGTTTCTGCCATTCCACTGTATACATATGACACTTAACGCGTCCGAAGACTTGCCCTTTAAGGCATAAAGCTTACATAGCTGTAACCGGAAAACGCGGGCAATTAGGTCAGGGCGGTGTGAGTACTGCCGACCTGGAAAAAGTTCGCGTGTGATTTCAACCCATTTCGGATTGCACGTGAACGTGACGAATAAATCAGGCCTCCCGTAATGACGGAAATAGGTCATTGCGTCTTGTGTCCTTTCATGCATGTATTGAGGGCCACCAGTGTAAGAGGAAGGCAAAATGCACGGTTTGCCGAGATTGCGTGGGTCACCATCAGAACGCAGACCATCACGAAGGTGAATGTAAGAGTCGGTTCTAAGTTTGGATTGGTTTAACTTGATGAATCCTAACCTCCCCGACTCCATTTTTGCAGCCATGTCAACAGCGAATTGAAGAAATAGTTAACGGCAGCTGTGCAAGTGGTTAAATTCAGCCTCCCTAGCCATAAACATGTAGGCGTAGTAAACCAAAAGACGTCATCTGGAAGCAATAGTTGTACTTCCGTATTGCTTCAAGAAAATGCGTTGACACTGAAGTTGTACCCAGAAGGAGGTCCCTAAGCGGCTGTGGAGGTTCGTCTAAAGAATGGAGTTTGATTTTGCTCCCAGAGCAACAAAGCCCAGGTTGCTCACCGGCCCACTTTTTTGCGTTGCAAAAAGTGCAGACTTTATCCATGGCCCCTATTTGTACGTCTCTCCTAGCGGGATAGTTGACAGTGCAGTCATAATTGTATGCGGCATTTGACCAAAATGACGCAGACGGCGAAATTACACCATTCAAAGAAGCTCGAAGTTGGCTAATGTTTTCGAGCCGTTGACGGCGTACTTCAGAGTTTTCTGCAGCCCTGGCAGACGCAGTAGAGCGGGCATTTCTAACGCGACGAACAGTGGTTTGTGCAGGGCTTTCTAAGGCTCTAGCAGATGCAGTAGAGCGGGCATTTCTAACGCGACGAACAGTGGTCTGTTTAGGGCTTTCTAAGGCTCTGGCAGACGCGGTGGATAGGGTATTTCTAAAGCGACGATGAGCGGTTCCTTGGGGTTGTTCCGAAGCTCTAGAAGCGGCTGTAGCCCTAGTATTCCTAAGACGACGTGAAGTTGTTTGTTCGGTGTTTTCTAAACCCCTAGAGCAAGCTTTGGCGGTGGCATCCAGCAAACGACGAAGGGTTTTCTGTGCTGGGGACTGTAAAGCCCTCAACCTAGCCACGCGGACTGCGTCCTGTGAATTCTGAAGTGAACGTTCTTCAACTGAAAGCCTGGCGCGGCGTGCGGATATGGTTGAAGCCGCTGAAGCCAACCTTTCAGTCCGCGCAGCGGCGCTTTCCGTAGATAAGCGAGCAGCTGAGCTCGAAGCCATCCGTGAAAGACGCAAAGATGTCTGTTCAGGGGTTTCACTCGCCCTCGCTGATCTAGCATCGGAAGCAGCTGCCGTGCGCCGTCCCAAAAGTTTCCTCTTTTTAGGTGGCATCCAAACAGTAAAAACGTCAAAGAGGGTAAAGCTTAAAAAGAGATTTCGACAAATCCAAAACGAAAAAACGTGCACTGCTAACGTAGACACAAAAAGAGGAACACCCAGTAAAATAAGTTCAGATGTTACTAAAGGGGAACTCGAAACTAAAAAAAGTGGAAATTTAAAAAGGGTAAATCCAAAAGGAAATGGGTTTTTAGTACAATTGGCTAACTTGTGTGGGGTTGGGTTGGAAATATAAAACAAAAAGCAGCTAGAACACGTAATCAACAACTTGCGGTGTCCGAAGTATACGAATAAAGTAAGCCAAGTGCGTGCACGCGGGCAACAATAAACGCAAAAGTGTGAAAGCTCGTCCGAGTCACGCAATAGAGGAGGTTGACCTTGAGCGCACTTATACATAAGCTGACGCGCGATCACGCAGCCGCTATAACGTGTGAGAAATCCTGCGCGATGATTGGACAGGCCCCAATGTCAAGCTCTGTGAAAGCGACCAATGGGCTTGCAGCAGTCTCGGTATCGACACGCGGACTCGGTTGTACGCAGCTGTGTGTGTGTAAGGAAGTTACAAAAAAGATTGATCCGCTTGCAGCTACGGTTATTTTTGCCGAAAAATTCTGAAATTTGACACACATACACAGGCGATAGTAAGCCGCAAGTGGGTCGTAAATTTCATTTGAATCAAACCAAAACTGTACATATTGTGCCAGTGAATGTGTGTCCAGTGAGCTAAATCATTTCCTTGGTACCCCTGTTTATGGTTTCCTGGTCAAGCGGCTTTGACAGTCTTGCAAAGAATTTGGTACTTGTTAGATAGCCAAGCGTTAGTGCTATCAGAAACTGGACCATTTGCTTTGTTTTGGTAGCTCGGTAACAAAATATCGTCCAATAACTGCGAAAAATCTGCATAAATGGCCCTTACTCGTGCTTTCAAATTGATTTCGTGCAAAAACAATTGTGTTTTTCCAATTTTTGGCGCTGTCAGAACCACCGCCGGGTAATTTTACGTAGTCCTGTGAAGTTTTGTTGAAATCGGTTGAAAAATGTAGGAAATCCGATCCCATATATAAGCGAACACACACACACACACACACACATCCAATCTGGGTTTTATAATAAGTAAGATTACGACGCAATGTGCATCCTATGAACGAGGGCATGTTTAAAGTTCTTGATCGAAGCGAGAAAAGTTAGGTCATTTATCTTTATCACAGAATTTACACATTACATACAGAATATACTTTATGGTTAGTCTGTTGTTATTAAAGAATTCAATAATACTCAACATTAAATCAAGTAACATTGTTGGTCAACTGCTCTTGAAAGCATGCTTATTTTATATCGTCTTAAAATTTTGGATATGGTAAAGGAGTTAGTATTACCTTCAGAAAGCAGTCAGATATTTCGAGTTTCTGATTATTGAGTTTACTTGTTGTATGTATTATGTTTCTTCAAAACATGGGCGATATAGCTCTTCATAGCTTCCTTTCCGTTATAGCACTAAGCAATTTTTAACACTCTTCTATCCCTCTTTATCTCCGTCCACTATCATATAGATATGATAATAGTTCAATACCCTTTTTCTAACGAAATTTTCCTATCTCTTAATACTTAGTTTAGTTTCCAAAAGGCTCTTTCGCTATTCCGATGCACTTTCAGGTATCTTTGTCGTACTTTCTGTTATTTGTTACTATTTGTCTAAATGTAACTATCAGATAGTTAAATTCCCGTACCTTTATAGTGGCGTGTGACTTCGGGGTTAAAATGAACAATTGCTTTAACCACGCCATGAAGATTAATGATGGAGGGGAATGGCCAGGAAACACATGGGTAATTTTAACAAAACAAGATAAGGAATTTATTTACGAATTTATACGCTTGAAGTCGTGTCAGTAGCTGGTTTCAGGAAAATAAATCAGAAATATTCATAATATAGATAAAATGATCTGACACAACATGCAAAAATGTTTGAAACAAAGGTAAGAGGATTCGTTGTTTACAGAAGATATATATGGTCTGTACACGTTCAAAAGTAGACTAAAAGAAATCGTTTGAAATACTTAGCTTTCTTGGTTTGTTGAAGTTCTTTGAAGTGTTGATGCTTGGTTAAGGTTGATAATATGATTGGCGAGTAATTTGACACTGGCGAAAATATGAACACTAGACACGTAAACAACAACGAAATTTTTCACATGACTTCAGACATACTTCTGCTAATTAAAATTTTCTTATTTTATATCAAAAAGGATTTCGCATAAGCTCGCTATTTTAAAGAAACAAACACAGATCCATGTTTTAGTAATAAAAATAAATAAAAACTTCAGTGTGAGAGCGTACAGCGAATTTCTTAACTTTGTCTTTATGATCTTTGGCTTTGAAAATGTACTCTCACACTGAAGTTTTTATTTGGAATTGGAATCCTACATGTTGCTATCCATTGAAAAGGAAGTGTTAGATGAATTGGATGCAAAAGCAATTATTGACAGTCACCGTAAAGGTAGTTATCATTATCATAGTTTATAACAGGAAACCATTACTCTAATCTTGCCCCCAAATCATGACAGTAATGAAATTCACTTTACTCCGAAATTCAAATACATTTAACAAACGTGGTATTTTTTACAGAAACTAAGTGAAAGTCAATTAAATACTTCTCATGTATATAAAAGAAATTACAATCGTAGGGTTCATGTACATAGAATTAAATATGAATTAATATGAATAGAAAGGTATTTTAAGTAAAGATCGTAACAACTGAACATAGATTTGAAGAAAACATTCTAGATAAATGAGCCAATCAAGTTCCCAATACAAACATTTGAAAACAATACAGCTGGGATCCGCAAACTAGCACACTGTTTAGGCTACATGAAATAAACACGAGTAAAAATCTTGTTTTCTATGTTGCTTCTCATTTTTAGTCCTTGTTCAGACAAAAAGATTTATAAATCAAACTGAATGAAATCATTAAAACACATAAAAAGATTTATATTCCCTTGAAATGAATGATTGGAGCAGGTGGCGGAAAATAGATTTGTCAATGTCTTCATGATAAATGTGAGCGTATTTAAGATTTGATTAACTCCCTATTACCATAACAGATGTCTCCCAAAACATGGCCGTCAGAAGCATTGCTGACTGCTAATGAATGCTTTAATATGTTCGCTCAGTCCTTATTCATCAATTTTATTCATACTTTCTTCCACCTAAATTTTGCATGCTTTTAAAGTTTTGTTTCATGTTTTTAATTTTCCTGTATATTTATTTTTTGTGAAATTATAATCTTTTTAGTTATTTATAAAGAACAGGCTCATTAAACCATAAATTCTGGAGATATCAGTTTCTGGAAATTGACTAAACGACAATTGTTTAGGTACATAATTTAAATACAAAGTCATTTACGAGTGATTGCGTTTAAAGTTTTTCATAAAATATATATTTTGTCTATAAAATGCTGCATTTGTCGAACACTTAACTTGAGATAATTTTAAATAGAACTTCTGAAACAAATCACATTTCTAGAAACATAAATCCCCATAAGTGTAACAAGAATTTATGGTAATATTCGTTATTATTCTGTATTATAGTTCAGGATCATTAGGTCTGAGTGAGTCTGTTTTTTATTTAGATATTTAACTGCCAAGTGAGGGAACGTCTTTTCAATAAAAAATGGAAATTCGTCCTTCAGACAAATTATGAAGCTGATATATATTCTGATACCTGTGCTTATTAACCCTGAGTTGTATGACATATTTGCACTGCTAATGGATACAGACAAAAAGATCTGTATCGGACGGCATAACGCTAGTTCGAGCATAAATCTACAAGAAGTAGATCACAGCTGAATTTGAATTTCGTCACTTCGTTTCTAATCAAACAGAAAAGAAAAATATCGCTATCTGTACAACAAAAAAAACAATCCATGCTAACGCGGAACGTTCTTGCAACGTTGCAAACATGTGTTTTGGTTGGGGATGTATGACATTGTGGCGACTTTATGGTAATGTTGCAATCAACTATTTTCCTGGCCAAAAACTGACCGCTCATCTCCAATGATATAACTTTGCGAAGTGTTGGAAAATTCCACACTGGTTAAATAAGTAGAATACTTTCCCTTTGTAGCGGGCGGTCCAGTGGCCCCGTTTCACAGAAAGGGGGTGAACGAGGTCACAAGAGGCCCGCTGACATTTTAGAGACGATTATATCTGACCGTGAAACAATATGGACGACAGAACGAGGATATATATGATATACAGGTTTATTCTAAAAGGAAAAGGAAAAGGAAATGAAGATGGTTGGAAACGGTGGAGGTGCTGGAAGGTGCAGGAGTGAGCCGGAAACAGCAGGAGTGCTGGAAGGTGCAGGAGTGAGCCGGAAGCTGCAGGAGTGAGCCGAAGGCTGCAGGGGTGAGCCGGATGCTGCAGAAGTTTTAGTGCAGGCATTGATGGTCGAGGTTGGCAGTTGCTAGGATCATCGTTGTTGGGGGTTGAAGCTGATGTGGGTTGTTGCCAGGATGATCGCTTGGTGGTTTTTGATGTTGAGTGATGCCAGGATGATCTTTGTTGGTTGTTGAAGCTGAGTCGTTGCCGGGGTGCCAACTTGACGTGTAGTTCGTGTTGCCAACTCGTTGTTTGTCATTGCCGGGATGCCAACTTGTTGCAGCAGTTCGTGTTGCCAACGTTGTTTGTCATTGCCGGGATGCCAACTTGACGTGTTGGGAAGGAAGAGAGAGAGAAAGTTCCCCAACTATCGTCAAGTTGGCAGACAAAAGAAATGGGAGCGTAACTTATCACACAGCCCGTAGATCGGCGCCCTTGGCCAATGAAGGCCAAGGGGTCGACCACTACCAGTAGAGAAAATAGGCCCCCTACAACTTCCTTAGAGGAAATTACTGAAGTAGAGCTAAAGAAAAGAAGCAATGTCCTAAAACCGGTTATCCTTTCGGATGCCAGATTTTTTTATGTGATCTTTCAACGAACAATAATGTTAGAGGAATAACGTACATCTATACTACATCGAAAAAATCTAACTTACTAAGTATAAGTTTTAAATGTTTACCACAACATAAAAGAAGAGATTGCCAAATTTTAAAGTTTAGCAAGATCGTAGGGTCAAAGGCGAAATATGTTTACAATTGACAGTTCGAATCTTTGATTTAATAACTATTTGAAATCTGATTATCTGCATTTTCTTCTGCAAACACAGAAAACAAGGTTCATATAAGGATCTACAAGTTCTAGCTAGTTCTAAAATTTTCCATTTAACTTTAGGGGTTTTATTTTCTTCTTTCAACTTCCAAAATTATTTTGAAAGTGAAGTAAGATTTCTATAAGTAAAAGAGGATAGGTGAGTTAAGCATTTGTTAGACAATGGGCATTGGTTATGATTCCGACAATTACATTGGTTGCTGTCCTTAACAATATTTGCATTAGTACTTGCATTATGGTTAAAATTATTAAATTTGTTAAGTTTTTTTTATCATTATGCAACATTATTATTTTCTCAAGATTATTAGTACAACTATAGCTAAGTTTTAATGTATTCCTATTAAAAAAATTTACTAAGAAAATGTCAATTAATTTTAGAATCTTATGACCTAACTTTTTACTAATTGGTTAAATGTAGGTGTGTACCAGATGATCTTCCTGTTTTTATTTCTTTTTTTTTAACTGCCATCATATTCTATAAACTGAATTCCAGTGGACTTATTATACCTACTATTCCTAAGAACTTTATTATACACACTTCTATGTTTCTCAAACACCTCTTTGTCAGAAGAGTGTTTGCTAATCCGATGTTCTACAGAGGAAGGAATATGTCGGTTACTTTATATGTTAGTTACTTTATTTGTTTAAATATTTTGATTTCAAATTATTTTGTTTTGTTATTTTGTTAAAATATTTTTCTTGATTTTCCTTCTTTTATTCATTAAAGGGCCTTATTGTTTACGTACCTTAAGTTGCGTTGCTTCCTCAGGGAAATGTCAGCCGTTCGTCGTCAACATTGTATCAAAAATTTCAAATATTCCATATGTATCCGTTGCAATTTTAAATCTGTTTTTCATGGCATCTTATAGACCATTTCGATAGGTTGAACCGATTATCAACATAACATAACCTGCTACTTTACATTTCTATATTTTCCTAATTTTTCTCTCTTTTTCCTTTTCTATGTAGAAGAGACTATATCTTGTGTCTTTCTTTCTTGCTCTTATTTTCTTCTTTTTTTCACGGAAAAAGAGGTTGTTTATAAGTAAATATTAAAAATTGTAATAATCCTTATTTACTACCGCCTGATGAGATGCATCGAAACATGTGTGCATGTTGCGGTTTTACATATGTTCTAATGTAATATCCTATAATAAAGAATACTGCTCTACTACTATATTGAGCCCTATTTTTAAATTAATGTTATGAACGTTTGAATTTTTATTTGATTCATTCTCATTTTATTTGGTTATATATATATATATATATATATATATATATATATATATATATATATATATATATGTGTGTGTGTTGTCATCCACAAACAGACTGTTTGGCTGTATTACAGCTCATCAGTATGGCTAGACATCCGGTTGCCTCTAGCTAGGATCGAAACCCGACTTAATTAGCATCAGTCGGGGATTCTACCACTAAGCCGTTGGTGCACGGCAGGGATGAAGGTGAATTTAAGCGTATTTATTTTTAGATAAACACACAGTAACTGAGAGAACTCGAGTCGATTTAACGAAGAGTCATGCATTATTAGCCGTAATAGTCACTGTTTACAAACCCACACTTCCTCCCCAGAGAGCTCAACCGAAATAAAGTTTTCAGGAGCATATATAGTGTCATCCACAGACAGACTGTTTCGCTGTATCACAGCTCATCAGTGTACCTAGACATCCGGTTGCCTCTAGCTAGGATGTCGCATAACAAAGTGGAAAAAGTTTACTTGTGACGCATTTCGTCTTTCAGGACATCATCAGACTAAATTTATTAAATTATTTAGTAGGACTACAGATGTGCATGACAGAGGGGAATATTAGATTTTTTTTTCTCTAGTCGAATTCATTTAGAGCATTTTTCTTCTAATATCACAGTGTTGAATACCTACTTACAAACGTGATGGAAAGAAAAACAAGATTATAAATGTATTCGGTTAGATAAAAAAAATTCTATAATTCTCAGTGCCCCTGTCGTGCGCATGTGTAGTCCTATCAACATAACACGTTTAGTCTGATGAAGTCCTGAAGGACGAAACGCGTCACAAGTGAACTTTTACCACTTTTCATACAATTTTCCCAATACTGTTCTTGATATATCAAAATATCGATTATATATTCACGTCCTACTTCCAAAGTCTGACTCGATGACCAAATATTAGAATTCTTGGTTGGTCTGAGAACTTTTAGCCCTCGCCTATATTCTTGGTTGATATTTTGTCATTGGTGCGGTTATTTGTTGTAAAGTTGATTCTTTTATCAAATTACTTTTTTTTTCATCAGGGTATACACGTTGGTTGAGGTCAATTTTTCTGAATAGCTGATAGTTGATCTGTCATGTATAAATACATACATATTCCTTCCTACTCTTTTCATTTGTATATTGTATTAATTATTAATTAGTTCTCTGCTCGTTTTTCATGTCATTTGATGCTAACTGATAGTTTGGTTGTCATTTGAACGGATATGGAGAAGATAACGAAAACTTCCCAATTCTCGTTAAAAGGGGAAAACAGTTGTAAAATATTCAAAACATAGATAATGAGATACACGTTTTAAAAGCTGGTGAAATTATTGTCGTGCACAATTTGAATCACTAGTCTCTGACTTTTGACTGAAATTAAAATCTAAAAGTATTGACAATAAAACTAAAAGAAAGAGAAGAGAAAAGCAACAGTGAAATACATGATAATTAATTTCGCGCAAACTCGCACCCACCCACACGTACAGAGAGAGAGAGAGAGAGAGAGAGAGAGAGAGAGAGAGAGAGAGAGAGAGAGAGAGAGAGAGAGAGAGAGAGTTGGGGGGTGTTTCGGCGAAGTACAGCTACTCGACGTAGCCCCGATTCCACAAATGGTTGGAAAAGCTTACATGTAATGCTGAGCCATATGTTTTTAGAGCCCTGTCAATCGATGCCCGATATTTGTAGATGTATGTTTTTGCGTGTGAACAGACCTATCATCATGTAACATAAATGCTCCATTTGGATGATGTCAGGTGAACATGGTAGCCACATAATTTGTCGGAAATCTCCAGAATGTTCTTCAAACCAGTTCTAGGCAGTTTGAACTCGATGAGACGGTGCATTATCTACTGGAATAACCCATCATTGTTGGGTACATAGGGTCTATGAATGGTCAGCGCTAATATTTTTTTTGAATAAAGCCTATTTTTCAAGAATCGGGAAGGGTCCGTAAATGAATATATATATATATATATATATATATATATATATATATATATATATATATATATCCTTTCGGATTTGTCAATATTTCTTTTGACGCATCTATTAGACAGGAACCTCCTATTCACAAGACTTCTTTCTGTTTTTTTTTTTTTAGCCCAAAGAGAGGATGTGGTATTATGGTGTATGGAGGATTGATTGGCGACGGATGAGTTTCTATGGTGAATGAGGAAATTGTAACGAGTGAATGGGTCGTGAATCCGATTATAAGATAGTGAAGACCAGCCTCAACCCATTCCCTCTTTTCGGCCTTGTGTTATAATTGTATTAATTTACAATAAATCTCGACTTCTTTCGGTTATCAGCAGATCGATTGGGATTCACTTCGTGCCTTTCTTCGAAACTCCCTTTGGGTGGATATTTTTAACCGTCCTATTGAGAATTGTGCCACAGAGGCTAAAGCTGGTATCGAGATTTTGTACCTTCTCACCGGCCTGTTCAGCTGCTATAGCTGACAAGGATCAGTTTTTGAGTGATAGTTCCGATCACAGCAGGCGTTTTTGTGTCTGATCGAAATAAAAACAAAATAGTAAACGTGTCCTCAAAGAGGCTAAGTCCGCCTGCCGACTAAAAAAAGCCTCTAAGCCTCTAAAAAATTTGATTCTCGTGACTACTGATGGCTCTGTAATAATCTTAAAATATTCTCTTCCCTTCACTCAATTTGAGGTGTTAACATATTCTGCTAATAAATTCTCAATGTCTTCTCTTCACATTCCACTCTTAACTCATCTAGAATATCTTTGCTTGACTTTCCACGTAAAACTAAATCCCTATTGAGTGACATCCATATAACTCCATCAATGGTTTCTGCTATCATCTCTAAACTGGATCCCCTCAAAGCATGTAGACTTGATGCCTACCCCTGCAATAGCTCTTAACAAATGTGCCCATGAACTGGTTCCTGATCTCCCTAAACTCTACAATAAAAGCCTTGCTACATTTGCTTTGCTGCTTGTTGGAAATCCACTTCTATAGTTCTAATTTTTAAGAACTCAGACGATTCGTCTGATCCTTCTAAAAGTACAACTCTGAATTGTTCAAACATCTCGCCTCGCGGGGTTTTCTTTCGGATAAGCAATTAGGCTTTCACTTCTCCAGGTCAACTGATGATGTGTTAACGATTATCGTCGTAAGAGTCTATCAAGAACGGTGAAGCTCTGGCTGTTATATGGGATATGTCGGAGCCATTTAACAGGATTTGGTTTACTAGTTGAAAGGTTATTATGTTTCTGGACGAATGTTTGAACTGATTCAGTCAATCTTCTCAAATTATAAAATAAAAGTTGTCTTGAACAGCCATTCTTCTTGAACTTTTTGCATTAATGCTCTATTGTTGGACCTACGTTGTTCCTAATTTTCATCAAAGACCTTACTGGTGGCATCAGTTCTCAACTCTGTATACATGCTAATGATACAAGTATTTGCTCCTGTCAAAGTAATTAGTAAGTCTAATGAGTTCGATGAGGTCATACTGACAGCTCATTTAAAAAATTATCTGCATTTTGCTGTTAACTGGAGCAATGAATGGCTTGCTAGTATTAACCTTTTCAAAATAAAACTGCTCTATATTAATCTTCCGAGAGAACCCTTTCTACCTTCGATCAGTATGTCTGAAGCTTACCTCCAAGAAAGTGACTCATTGCTCCTTCTTCCCCTAACATTTTCCTCTGACAAGAAGTGAAAAGATTATATTGAAGCAATTGCTAGTTCTGCTAGGAAGGTAGGTTCATTGATAATTTGGCTAGACAATTTTTCTCACTCGAATCTAGCTACATATTTGTAAGTCTACTATTCGTTCATGCTTTGAATATTGCTATCACATATGGTCTGGTCTGCTATATATTTAAAGCTTCTTCATAAAATTCAAAGAAGAATCAGTAATATCCTACCTTGGCATCTCATCTGCAGTCACTTTTGCACCGTCATAATGTAGCTTCCCTATGCCTTTCCTATAAATACTTTCATAGTACTTTGCTATATATATATATATATATATATATATATATATAGAGAGAGAGAGAGAGAGAGAGTAGCTGCGCTATATTGACTCTAGTTAGTTTCCCCGTTCGTTACTGAGGCCCACTGACCCAGTGGTATGATGCTTGCGGTGTGTCGTAACGGTCCGTCATCGATTCTCGGTAGTGAATGCGCACTGCTGATGAGTACCGCAAACGGCCGTCCAGTGCTTTCTGTTGAGGATTCTTGTTCTAGAATCGATCAATTATATATATATATATATATATATATATATATTTTCAACAATAAAAAAAAATATTAAAAAATTAAAATCTTCAGAATGCTGACCCCGCAATATTATCATTCACTTTCAAATCAGACTGAATTTTTGCCTTCTTTAAATTTAAAAATGACAAAAATTCCATGTGATTTGCATTTTAGAGGTACCTTAATTTAGCAGATTTCAGGATTTAGCGCGTTTTAGGGACACCTTCATTCAATACTTTTGTTCATATTTCACTTACTTCGAGGTTGCATACATATCCTTATATTAGTGCAAAAGTTATACGTACACTAAAAATTGAGATTGTACAATTTTACTTTTTTTAAATTGTTGTGGATCCCGCGTGAAAAATAGGTATCCAATAATTTTTTTCCTTTTACTTTAAAACCGAAGTCCTGAAGTCTTCTAAAAACTTCTTTTATGTGTGATTTATGTTCTTCAGCATTGTCGCTCTTAATTAAAATATCATCCAGATAAGCGGTCGCGAAATTCTGGCCCGTGAGCATTGTGTCCATTGTTTGCTGAAAAATTGCAGGTGCAACTTTTATTCCGAATGGTAGTCTGTTAAACTTGTACAACCCTTTGTGCGTATTAATGCAAAGGATTTTCGTACTCTCTTCTTGTAATGGAATTTGTAGATAAGCCTCACTAAGATCTATTTTTGAAAATATCTTACCGCCGTTGAGCTTTGTAAATATCTCCTCTGGGCTCGGTAGTGGGTAATGGTGGTCCTTTATTGCCTTGTTGAGTCCTGTCGAAAAATCTGCGCATACGCAAATTTCTCCCGACTTCTTTTTAACGTAAACCACCGGCGCAGCCCACTCACTAAACTCTGTTTTAGATAGAATCCCAGTTTGTTCAAGTCTCTCCAATTCTTTGTCTATTTTTTCTATCGTAGCAAACGGGACATTTCGCTTCTTTCTAAAAATTGGTTGGACGTTTTCTTTTAATTCTATTTGTTGCATCGTCCCAACCCGCTTGAAAATACCCGAGGAAATTGCTTGTATAATTCTTCCTTCAATTTTATGGTATCTGATTTTTCAACCTCTAACTTTCCAAAACGAGTGAATAGGTAGGTTCCAAACGTTGAATTTCTGCATCCAGTCGATACCTACTAAGTTTTCAGTATCTTTCATGACGTATATCTTCAGTTTTTTTGTTTTGCCGTGAAATTTAACATTCACTATTATTTCTCCCCAAAATTTTATTCGTTTTCCTGTAACCGATTTGGCAATTTTTTGAGTGTGTAACATCGTAGGTCTATTGAGTTTTTCCATGTCTGTAGGTTGATTATCGTGAGGTCGGAACCCGAATCCAATTGTAATGTAATCTTTTTGTTTAAAATTTCCAGTTCTACATATTTTCTTACATTGTTGTTGTCATCATTATTCATCCTTGTAGCTCTTATTCTATTAGTATCTTTTCTATTTCTACATTGGGATGCCTTGTGGCCTTTTTTTCCACATTCATGACAGTTTTTATATCTGAAGCGGCAATCCTTGTTCCAATGTAATCCTCCACATCGATAACATGCTGCTGGAGGGGGCTTATATTTGTTTCGATATTTGTCATAATTTGTCCTGTATGTTGTAGTTTTTCTCTTATAATATTTTATTTTTCTTTCCGGGGAGGGTGAAGAACGTAGATTTTTGTTTAACTTACGTATATGAGAAACAGCCGATTCTTCAATGTCCTTTGCGTCTTTCTTAATGCTTAAACATCTCTGGCAATCTTCTGATAATTGCTGTAATGTTAGACCCGGTTCATTTAGTAATTTTGCCAGCATTCTTCTACGCATTTCGCTGTCTTTTGTAGAAACTAGCCCTTGAACAAAGATGAGACATTTAAAAATATCCGGGGTTAATTCCGCTAGTTTGAAGTCGTCACAATGTTTATTTACTATTGCGGCAAACATGGAATAATCCTCATTATCGCCCTTTACCAGGTTAAGGCATTTCCACCTCCTATGGAAGAGTGATGTTTTGGGGCTGAAGAGTTCTTTAAGACATGTCACTGCTTCGTCAAATTTTAATTCGTTCGTCTTTTTGGCAAGATATAATCCACGAACTTTGTATATTCTTCAGTTCCTAATTTTCTAAGCAATAGACGTAGCTTTTTTCTGCTTCTGTCCAATTTTGACAGTCTATGTTAAAGATGTCTTCATGTCTTCTGAAGTAATCGCCAAAATTTTTGTCCTCATCTAGAGAATATTTGAAAATCTCTATAGTATTCCACACTGCGTCTTGCGAAAATGTTGCTTCTTTTTCAATATCTAACTGCTTGTTGCCTGCTAGTTTCAATATTAGTTCCTGGAGCTCTGTTTGTCTATCCTGATTTTCC